TGTTGAGTTCTCAAAAAAAAAAAAAAAAACACTATGAGTTGTTCAATCTCCAGCTTTTCGGTCTTTCAAGTTTCAAGTGCCTTTGTCATGTTTGCCTTTTGACAAATGATGAACAAGATGATTTCGAGTTGCTTATTGAAGATAAAAGTTACAATTGCTTACACATGCTTCATATTAATTACAATAACATATCACCACCCTTCTTTTTGAGTTGAAGAATGCATTCATATGCTTCATATTTCTCTCTATTTATATCTTCCAGTTTATTCTGCAGAGAACTGATATTACTTTCTATAGCCTTTAATTCTCGCTTTTGACGTTGAATGTTTACGGTGTGTTTTCGATCTTCCTTCTGCAGTCTTTCCAATTCATTGCGTATAAACTACAATAAGAACAAATATATATATATACATGTGAGACTTTTTCATAAAACTCAAGCCATTTTAAAATAAAATTTCCATAACTCAAATAGTTTCTAACTTATTTTCTGACCTTAAGTTATTTTGTAATGCCTTTTAAAAATAAAACAACCCTTCACAAAAATATCTTACCCGAATATAACCCTGAATATCTTTTATGGAGCCCAAATAGTATCGAATCTGTGCAGCTCCTGAAGCATGATTAACATTATTATTAGTACTATTATTATTAAGTTTAATATTATCCATTTTTGCTTCATTCTGTTTTATCTCTCTAAGAAGCTTCTTCTCCTCTGCAAGACTCTTACTGCCGTGTTGCATCTTATAGTTCAAACTCTTTACCTGCAATTCATAATTTCACATTATTTATTGTCTTTGTAATTATTCCTTTTTAAATTCAAAACAAATTTACTTAAAATTGCCAATGATTTTCTTAATCTTTTTTATTACTGTTTGGAATATAATTTCTTAGTTTATATGCTATAATTAGCTCAATTACAACTATAACAAACTAGATTTTAGCAGTGAACATGGGTTCAAGTTCGGCTTGGGTGGGTTTGGGCCAGGCCCGTTTTACATAATCATACTTGAAATCATTTCTTAAATTGGATCACCTTGAGATTGGGCCTATATTTTATTTTCAAGTTTGTTCAAAAATGAAATAAAAATCACAAGTTGCCACATGGTCCGGACATTATTTAATATAAATATTATTTTCATATTTTAAAATAAAATTATAATTAATTTAATCTTTTGGGTACATATAAATATACATATTTATAAAAATATATTGCATAATATAAAATTTAGGATAAACTACCAATAAGTTCTAATAGTTAGACTTAATTCTCATCAAGTCCTATTAAAAATAATTTCAAGTAAAATCGGTGTTAAAAATAATTTTTTATGGCATTTTTTTTTTGTCTTTAAAAATTGACAATTTAGTTTTTTTTATATAAATTGTCACTAAAACTTACAATTAGTGACCTTTTTCTATGACGAATTTTTCAAACTGTCGTTGAAAGTTAAAAATTAATGATTTTTTGTGATAATTTTTTAAAATTGTAGTTAAAATTTATAATTAGTGACATTTTTTGTGATAAAATTTTTAAATTATCTCTGAAAATTAATAATTATTGATGTTTTTTAATAATATTTGATAAAAAATATTATTAATTATCATAAAATCTATTAAATAATAAATAAGATCTACACGTAAAACTCTCTATAATTTAAAAATGAGATTTGCTGTGTTTGAAGCACTCTTCTCAAGTCTGGTCCACATTATAACTGAGCCTAAAAAAGTGTCCAACCCAACCTTAGACGCCTAACCCATAATCCCAAACGCTATAAATTATGAGCAAGCTTGAACGGGCTCAGCTAGTTATTGGGCTCATGTCCACTCCTTATTTTACATTTGAAAAATAATTTATTACTTTAAACATTAAAATTAGCTCAATTAGGAAGAAACTCCACCTCTATTGGTGGCTCAATATATTTTTAATATCATTAAAAAAAAAGGGTCATTTATTATTAATTGATTTCATGATTTATCAATAAAATGAGTTATTTATTATATGATTAAAAACTTGAACTAGCGTAATGTAATTTGTAGAACAATAATGAGCAATCTATAATTTAAGTAAATTTGAAGGTTGTTTTTGTAATTTATCTTTTTTAAAAAGGTAAACTACTAATAGATTCTAATAGTTAAACTTAATTTCCATCAAGTCCTATTGAATATAAGTATTTATAAAATCTTCGCAAAAAATAGTTTGTTGTTACGATTTTTTGCATGCATCGCTAAAACTTGATGATTAGTGACTTTTTGTCACAGATTCTATAAATTGTCTAAAACTTACAATTAGTAACTTTTTTTGTGATGAATTTTTCGATTTGTTGTTGAAAGTTGAAAATTAGTGACTTTTTTGTAACAATTTTTTTTAAACTGTCTCTAAAACTTATAATTATTGACATTTTTTATGACGTCTGTCGTTGAAAATTAATAATTAGTAACATTTTTTTTAATAGTATTCGATGAAAAATTTCATTAACTATGATAAGAACTATTGGATAATAAACTTAGGCTTAAATAACTTACAAAGCAATTGAGTTGTTCCTCTTGAGAGTATGTTCCAATAGCTCTCCTTACGTAGATGGGTTTCTTCGAATGATGAAGCTCTAAGAGACAATTTTGCAAATTCTCGACTTCGTTCTTCCTTATCCAAAAACTATTTGAATATTGTAGTGGTTGGTGCTTGAACTTTGAAATAACACGGTATCCAGGTGGTGGGCTTTTACCAATTATAACTCTCTGAGAGTCTCTCCCTCGGCTAGGGTTAGGGTTCTTTGAAGGCCGAAATTCCTTCAAACATTCCTGCAAAGTCTCCATTTCATTCCTCCACCATGATATAGGATATTTGGAATAGTTCCTGTGTAGATGTTGTAATTTTAAAATTACAAGGTTCCAATCCTCCTGTTTGGTAATTCAAAAAAGATAAAAGGTTAGAAACCATTTTGACAACTAATTAATTATGTTTTAGGTCATCATCCTTAATCAAATTCCATTTTTTTTCCCCTTGGTTGATAAAGTTGAAGTTAAACCCATCTGAGGCAAGAGCCTCACGTCCATGACAGCTACATATAGCTTGGAAAATCTCATTCTCAAAAGATAATGATAAAGCTTATTTTGTAAAGCCTATAATGAGTTTTTAAAAGTGGTTGTCCACTTACGATGATCAAATTCATATTATCCCACAACATATTGATTCTATAACCATAACTACATAATTTCAACATATATGGACTAGTATGAAATGAGAAATAATATGACCAATAGGAGAGAAAAAAGATAAACCATATGGCATAATGATAAGATTCAAACTCAACAACATACCAACTCTCTCTAAACTTATAAATAAAAGTAAAAATGATAAAAGCTATACGGGGTTGGCATACCTTCCTTTCTAGTAATTTTTCTGCAATTTGAGAATAAGCTTCATTTTTCTTCTGAATTAGCTTCTCAGTATCATGAATATCCTTTGTGAAGTTTACTTGTATTAAATGATGATCATCTCTTGACCTTGATATAGGCCCAAACTCTTTCTCATCATCCAAACAATTGTTCTGGGCTTCAATTTCTTCCTTCAATACCATTTGCATGAAGTCAGCTTCCAACACCTCCATATTCACCTGCATCCAATGTTGAGAAAAAGTGTTAGGAGGATCTGTGTTGTTGTTGTTTTTCATCATTGAGCTTTTTCATAAGATAAAAGGATAAAAAATTCAACATTGGGGTATTGACTGTAAATATTCAATCAATATTTGATTATTGAGATTGGTCAATGAAATTGAAAGATATTATACAATAAACATTAATGAGCTACATGCACAAAAATTACAAAAATGTACGCATAAAAATTAATGTGTGATCTAAATTAATTTTAAGTATAGTGATAACCACGCAAAATAAAAATTATATCAGATTGAAATATCAAACTGAATAACTATAGTCTGATAACTATTAACACAAGAAATAACTAATAATTATAAGCAAAAAGAAAAAAACTCATATCTTACAATAATAAATGGCTCATAATGAGAAAATAAATAACACAATTAGAAGAAAAAAAAATTATTATTTTTGTTTTTACAAACTCATCTTAAATAAATCTAAAACACATATTAAATTTTATATCTCATTATCGTATCTCATCTAATAATAAACCTCAAAACAGAAAATTTATGATCCCACTAATATAGAGAGAGAATGAATGAATCAATGGTGTTACTTACTGAGAATTGGAAGAAGAAAGAAAATGGGTCGTCTTGGCTGTGCAAGATAAGAGACCAAGAGATGAAAAAACCTATCATTTATAAAAATTCCGAACCATATGACCTGCTTGCTCACCAAGACACTTCCACCCCACGACAAACCTGTCAAACTCATTAATGTTGACTTGCTCACCAAGACACTTCCACCCCACGACAAACCTGTCAAACTCATTAACTTCCCCTTCTCCAAGCAATTTATTTATTTATTTTTTTGTTTGTTTACATTATTGCCAAATTAATGCCCCTAACACAAATGCATCAAGAATTGTTATATTGATAGAAAGAAGTCAAAGCACTCTTCACTTCAATAATTCATACATAACAAAATCAAAAAAATAAATAAATTATCAATAAGTCTTAATAATTACATTTAATTCTTATCAAATCTTATTAAAATTAAGTTATAGTAAAATCATCGCTAAAATAATTTTTTATAACGATTTTTTACATGTCACTAAAAATTGACAATTAGTGATTTGTTTGTCACAGTTTTTTTAAATTGTCGCTAAATTTTATAATTAGTGACGTTTTTCTGTGACGAATTTTTTAAACTGTCTCTGAAAGTTAAAAATTAGTGACATTTTTGTGACGATTTTGTTAAATTGTCGTTAAAATTTATAATTAATGATATTTTTATGACAATTTTTAAATTGTCGCTGAAAATTAATAATTAGACGCTTTTTAATAATATTTGGTAAAAAATGTTATTAATTACCATATAATGTATTGAACAATAAATTCACCTATTAGGACCTACACGTAAGTCTCCCTTATTTTTTACGGTAAATTATAAATATTGCCCTACGAGATTTATTTAAAATACAGGTTACTCACTATGATTCTGAAAATTACATCTTCCGCCCTTTCAAATTTTTAATCATATAACAATTAATAAATTCCCAAGTTAATTAACGATTTTATTAATTTCAAAAATATATTTCAATTAACAATTCAGGTAATTTTTTTATTATATAAAAGAGTAGTTAAATTTTTTTATTTTTTCTATTAATTTTGTTAAATGAAAAATTCTAACAATAGGATTTTTATAATTTTTAAAATTGTAAAAAATAAACATATTTTAAACAAATATCAAAAAATATATTTATGTTTTACCCAATTATTTAAAAACCAAAGCTGTATAGCATGTATAGCAGAGCTATGATCCCACTCCAAAATTTCTAGTTCTCTATTCTATTTTATTTTTTAAGTAGTGTTTACCAAACTCATATTTTTACGCATGAGTTAGCCCCTTCCCCCAGGGTTAGCACTTACTTAAGAACTAAATAAATAAAAATAAAATAAAAAATGTCGCTAAAAGCATTAGCGATAAAAAAAAAATGTTATCGGCTTCATTGTTGAATGGTTGTGGGAGAGGATTCCTCGTGAGACAAAAGAATTTGGTCGCCTATTGTAAGCCTTTGGAAAGGGACATTTTTATCTTTATATCAAATAACTATTTTTGTTTCTATTTCAAATAATTTTCATCACAATTCATTGCTAAATGGTTGTCGCAGATGATTCCTCGTGAGAAAAAAAGAATTGGTCTTCTATTTTTTTTTTTATCGGCAAAAAAAGAATTTTATTGATGGAATAAACAAGTACATAGTACAAAACGAATTACATCAATAAAGAAGGGAGGTGCAAAAGCATCATAAGGGGCTAAATCATTCCAACGAGGTTGGCACCATCTAACTCATCCTATCATTTACTAACACCCCCAGAGTTGGTGAGAGACCAACGAGCACTACAAAAAATAACACCTTTGCCGACCAAAAAATTGATCGCTAAAAGCCCATTTTTAGTCGGCAAAAGTTATCCGCGACCAATTTTTTTAGTCGCTACTTTGGTCGCCAATTGAGGGTCGGCAAAAGTAATTCGCGACCAAAATTTTTGTTGGTCGGGAAAAGTTAGATTTGCCGACTAAATTTTTAGTCGCTAAATATATCATTACTGCGACTAATCCATTTTGTCGGTAAAACACTTTGGTCGTGAAAAGTGATATTTTCCCGACCAAATATGTTGGTCGCCAATTGTTACATTCTACGACCAAACAGATTAGCCGCCAAAAGTCAAGGAATCGCCGACTAACAATTTAGTTGCCAAAAGGTAAGAAATTTCCGACCAATGATTTTAGTCGCAAAAGTGTAGAATTTGCCAACCAATTTTTTAGTCGCCAAATCTCTTTCTTTTTTCTTTTTCTTTTTTTTTTTTGTTTGTTGAGAACAATCAATTTTTGTTTATAAACATTCAATCGAATATCGAATAAAATTAATTCAACCCAACCACAATTAAGGAACAATAACATTTAAAAAAGAAAAAAAGCTTCGGACCAATAATTAACAAATTTTCTTTCTTGTAACTTCACTAAATCATCAAACAATAATTGAATTCCATTTAAAATAAAGATGAAAATGTATAACCGTAGTGCATCACAGAGCATATTCAAGTCAAATTGAATATAGTAAGCATGTCTTCTCAAAAACTATATCCTCTTTGAAGTCCAACATGACACAAAACTTGAAGTCTTTCACCTTCTTTAATGATTTAACATATCAACTTGTTTGGCAGCTGATCCAAACCAACATATCAACTTTATGGATAATTGACCCTTCACCCTTGCATGGCCGAATGAAATAGGCACTTGGAAGCATTTCAGCTCTTACAAATTGAGCAGCAGCAGCTGCATTTGGGCCAGCACCAGAACCTGACAGAGATCTCTCATAGACCTTGAAAGATTGATGACAAAAAAGAACAAAGATCAAATTTTTGCATCACCAATTGTCCCAAAAGCATAAGTTTTAGAAAATAGGCAAAATTTTTATTATAACAGACTAGTGAGTGTTTGTACATTAGAAAAACTGAAGAGAGGAATTTTATTTTCATTAAAAATAATAATAATAAATAAATAAATAAATTTGAAAGGCACCAACCTCTAGGAAGAACATGGCAGATTACTTCATTAACTGAACTGTAACACATAGGAAGAACATGGCAGATTACTTCATTAACTGAACTGTAACACATAAGACGAACATAACATATTTACTTAATCTATATCAGACTATGCAGTGAACAAAAAAAAGTACCTACGTGCATAATGACTTTGGGAAAAAAGTTATATTTTACTGGAGACGGATATCCAACTGAAGCAAGTAAAATCAAATAAATAGTTAGCAAATCCAACCTCTAGTAGTCACAAAACAAATGGCCAGATTGCTGGCTCATTGATGGAGTCAACATTACCAGATGCAATTGTTGCTTCATGAACCACTTCATCAATTTCATCAGTAGTCACACCAGGTTGAATAACACGAGCAGCTGCGTCCAGAATCTCCCTTGAAATCTGAAGGGAACATATTTGAAAACAACAAATTTCAGGATTTATATTAAAGAATGGGTCATGAGAACAATGCAAAGTATCTACAACATAAATTTGTTGTTCTTTTTAATTTTTTTGTTGTAATATTTTTTTGGACAAGTAACATTGTAAAAGACAAAAAAAACATGTAAGGCAGAAAAACTTGTATACTCAATCAGCCGAAGCCCAAAATCTATAAATCCATAGGCATGTGCAGATCACCTAAAACTAGACAAAAGAAGAGTCTGAGAATGGAACAATATCACTCTCCCATGTAGAACAACATCATCACTCATGGGACCCTGAACATGGAACAAATCAAATTCCACAAATTCCTGCCCACCAAACAGTGAAGGAGGAGATGATGAACAATTTCCCGTGCCTACTTACACATGCAACACTACTCAATCAATATCCTGTGCCTCATCCTACGGTTATCAACTTCCAAAATAGCCTCAAGAGTTGTAGTCCAGGCAAAAAAACAACATTAGGAGGGGCCCTACTTTACAAATACCTCTCCAGAACCACAAAAACCACCCAAATTTGGGTAGAAGGAATGATCAAAAAACATTACATTCTTAGAAACTCCCAAAACCAAACCATTCTGACCACCCCACTAAATCTGTGTTATAAAGCATGCTAAAGCAAGTCTTCATAAACTGGATTTCCTAGTCTTCTAATGCTGTCCGGAACTGCGGTTTACACACCAAATCACGGGGTATATTGTCATCAGCCCCAAATGTTTTAAATCAATAATTTTATGTCCTCTGATTTGCCCCATTAGAAAATTTTGAATCTTCCACTGCCCATTATTTCCCTTCTAGAGGTTTACCAACAAGCATTGTCCATTCCAAGAGAAGAGCTAAGATGGATGCAGTGAGCATAGTGCTATCCATACATGAACTAGTCCATGCTACTATCTGTCAGTATATCATACTTGTAGTACGAAGAGGTAAAAGACTCGGCCACTTGGCCTTGTGCTGATAAATTCACGATTAAGCTTTCTAGAGTATGCCACAATTATGCTCAATAACTCATGAGCATTGCCAATCTGAACATGGCAATCTCAGTGTTACAAGAAAACATTAATAAATACCCTTGGAATTTATGCCTAGCAATTTAAAACGATCCCCAATATTTTCTTTAAAAATTTCTTAAAGGTGGAAAAAATCAAATATAATGAACTAAAACCTATGGAGTGAAGTTTTGGGGAGACCAAAAAAAAAATGATAGCCTATAATTTTCCTAGAATTGTGTTCTTACATGATCAATTGAAAAAATAAAACTATATTTTATAATCTTTATTAAATGTCTAATTATTAAAAGAGAATATCTCTTACATTTAGAAGTGTTAAAAATCTAATTGTGCACTTTATAGAAGTGTCTACCTTCCATCGTACTACATTTTAGAACACGTGGCATACCACGGTCTGTTTTCGTCCCTCGTACCGGAACGATATATAAGCACTCCAGGTAACTAACATAGGCCAATCCTTCAATTAGCGTACCCATCATTAGCAATAGTTTTGATTGCTTTAACTGTACCAAAAGGGAGGTTGAGTGTAATTATGCTAACTATATTTTTCTCAAATATCAGGGGATGTAAGAAAGAGGGTCTCCATAAGTTAATTTCTGAGTAATAAAAACTCCATCAATCCTCCTAAATGCCCTAATTGTTTCTTGATTGCTCAACATTGTAAAACAAAAAACATCCCAATC